GAGTTTGCAGTCAACCTTAAAAAATTCCCAAGACTCATTTTCTAGCATCTCCTTATTTATATGTTTTTATTAAATCAGTTACCTGCTTATTTTCCTAGAGCAAACAATGTTTTAGCAGTAGCATAGCTAAGGCAGGACAACTGGGCACAAAGTTGGGGTGTGGCGTGGTGGGGGAGCACAAAAATAGCCACCATTGAACTGCTGACCCAGCCACTTGTACTACCACCCAGGATGTAGAAGTGTCCAGGTACAACTGGACATTGGATTTATGGTACAGTATAACCTTCTTACCATTCAATAACCCCAGGTAACCTCTCTACATTTTACCAGCTACATTCTATTACCAGGTCAACATTCCCCCCTTTCTCTGCCTCTCCCCTCCCACCCCCCTGCCCCACCATCACTTACCTGTCTCGCACCTAGTCTAGGGACAGAAGCTACACATAAACTGGTTTAAGTGATCAGAAACTGGTTTAAACCTGTAAAAGAACAGAAACTCAGTGAACATAAACCAGTTTCAAAATGACTGAAACTGGTTTAAGATAAACCTGGCTGAATGTAGTATCAGACTTAACTGATTTAGGTCAAACCAGTTTATGAAACTACTGTCCCAGACCCCTTCCTGGTTCAAGTTAAAATCACAGTCTCCCAGCATCCCAGCATGCTTTGCAGCCCTAGGCTAGGCTGTGCTATCTGCTCCAGAGAACAGGGCTGGTCCCACCCCTCTGCTCCCTAGCTGGAGCAGTGAGGGCTAACTGACAAGGGGCTGGTAGGGGGGCAAGCCCAGCTGGGGATGCAGCCCAGTCTAGAAGGGGGACTGCCCTCCCCCAGGCAAATCCCAGCTGGGGCCTGGGGCCAGGGATGGGGGTTAAACAGTCCTTCCCTCACTCAAATTTATTGCTGGCTGCAAGTCCTGCTGCTGTAATTCTGGACTGCAAATCCCAGAGACCTCAGGGTCAGCAGGAAGAGGAAGTGAACACACAGTCAGAGGGCTGTGCTCTAGCACCCCTCGGCTTCTGGCCTGAACCACTGCAGGCATGTGGCTGCATTTCCTGAATCAAAGGTAAATGTCTGTTCACTTCTGTTTCAGTTTAACCTGTGCAGCTTAGACTAGCCTGAAAAAGACTGAATCAATTCAGCCTCGGGCTTTTTGACTGTCTGTACCTAACCAAAATGGCTGAAACTGGTTTAAGATAAGCCTGGCTGAATGTAGTATCAGACTTAACTGATTTAGGGCAAACCAGTTTATGAAACTTCTATTCCAGACCCCTTCCTGGTTCAAGTTAAAATCACAGTCCCCTAGCATCCCAGAATGCTTTGCAGCCCTGGGTGGGGCTGGGCTGGGCTGTCTGCATGAGCACAGCAGGGTTGGCCACTGCCCTTCTCCTCTTTAGCCAATCAGCCAGAGGCAGGAAGTCTGCAGGGATCAAATGATCCCAGCAAGATAAACATCCAAATGCCTTTTGAATGAGTCCAGAGTAGGTGCTTGCATCACCTCTGGGCGGAGTTTGTTCCAGACCTTGGACACTCGGACTATAAAGCAGCTTTTCCTTATATCGAGTCTGATATATCGAGTTTTCCTTGTATTGAGTTTTTCTTTATATCAAGACTGACTTTCTAGAAGTTTGTGGCCATTAGACCTAGTTATCCCTTGGGCAGCCCTGGTGAACAACTGTTCTCCCAGATCCTGATTCACCCCCCTTATATACTTACTAGCAAATTGCCTGTCAAAAATGACAGGGGAGGGTGGCGGAGACAGAGCCCAGCTTTTGGCCCTGTGGCCCTGTTCCCCGCCTCCGCTAGTCTGTCTCCGCCTGCTTCAGGCCAACCCGGTCCTCCCTGGTAGTTTGGGTGTAAGGCCAGGGCTGCTTCCCCTCCTCTGCCCCCAACACAGTGGCCCTGCGCCCACTCCCCTTCCCCCC